ATTATGAGTTCTTTTTCCTGTTTTCCTAAATAGTCTGTGAAGACCTTGAGGGCAAAGACAAGAATATCCTGCCAGATCTCTACTGAACACAATACTGTAGAAGAGCAATGCTATATACGTCTTATCTCACTGTTACAAAGTAAAATCCCATTCATCTCTTACCCCATTTTTGCTATTAAAATTGAGTTCTCCAGGCCCTTTTTTTTTTTTTTTTTTTTGCTTATAATGTTATCAAATGAAACTCCAGAGCTTAATCTTAAAAATGCAAGTCTTTATAAATTAAAAAAGAAAAAAATGTCTCAGAAAACATTGAAGGTGATGGCCACCCTACCGCTAAACAACAAGACATAATTTTCTGCACGTAGAACTTGCTAAAGAATCTGATTTGATAAGGTGTTAAATTGAAAACATCCACAAGAATATCAATCTTGTTATATTGTGCAATATGGAGACTCTATGAATATTCATAACTGTTAGCAACTTGTTCCTTTCTCTGTCAATATGAATCAGTCCTGAGAAGTATCATTTTAACAAAATGGTCTTAAAACATTTTAGAAATTGTTCTGGTGTCTTTTGAAAGTAGTCTTAAAGAAAATATGAAATTTTGATTGGTTGTTGGGCATGATAATTAGTTGTCCTGGTAATAACGTTGTAATTGATACCTTCATATTCTGTAGAATCAAAAAAAGGGTCAATTGGCACTTTCTTCTTCTATCATATGATGAAAAATAAACACTTGTGACTGTGAGAATTATTATTTTAATAAAGATTAAGAGCCTTGTCTCCTTTAAATGAACATAATGCAACAGGGGAACCTAGCAGTAGCTGTGATAGCCAAGTTTTCCAGCAGACCCAGATAATATCTTTTTTGGATAATATCACACTAAAATCACTGCTATAAGACACCTTAAAGAACATTAAGTATGATTTCTTCATTTTACACAAAAAAAAATGAGCTTATACAGTCATTGGCAAAGCCAAGACAATAATACAGGCCTATTGATTTCGAGTAAAATGCTTTTTTGCCCATCATACTTCCCTTATTGGCAAGACTGAGATAAGGAAAATGAAATGATGAATTAAAAACTTCTGGAGCTGTCAGCCCTGGCAACGAGCTGAATTTTTTAGACTGAAAAAATTTACAGACTTTATAGATGTACGGACAAAGTGAACAATTATGTCTAATAAAGATTTTTTTTAAGCATAAGCTAATCCTATGTATTGTCAAGATGGAATATTGGGTACTAGATTTACCCTCCTGCCTGAAACAACCAAAAGAACAAGAAAAAAATGTTTACAAGACATGAAACAACAATTTTCACAACACTGGACTTTAGGCAACAAAGGACAGTGATCCTTGAGAGATCAGAAACAAATGAGATGAGCTCTACAATTGTCTCAGCTTACAGTCTTGAGAGAGTTTCTAGGCCATGGTGTAGAGAGGAAGAATGCAGGTAAAGCCCGGCATACTCTCTGAGTAAGAAACTAGAACTGAAAGTCAGGGGAGACCAAGACAACAAAAGCTGGCAGCACACAGTACAGAGGGGAGAGAGATGCAAAGAGAGTAAAAACTGCAGCTCTACAGAGGATCCCTCTCAAGTATTTAGTGAAGAACTGAAGAGTATATGCATGTGAAGAAACTATCTGAGGCTGGAAGAAGAACCATCCCAATGGGTCAGAAAGAATGGTACCAAGACCCATGAAGGGCCAGGAATACTGCCTGTTCTCAAAAGCCAGAACCTCATAATTCACAAAATATTAGGTAGGGCACTTAGAAGGATCTTTCCTTACAAGTGGGAAAAAGCATTGACAAAACATGGCTCTGGTGTTCTCTTAAAAAAATCTTCAAAGATCTGAAAGGATCAAATTGTTTCCAAGTAATGTAACTGCATCCCAGAACAAAGCTCGAGAATATTTATTTGAATAGCAAAATATCTAGCATCCAACAAGGTAAATCCCAATCAAAGATTACCAGTCAGGCAAAGAAAATGCAACCCACAATGAGGAGAAAAATAAATCAATCAAAACTGATCCGGAACTGAAAAAGATGTAAGAATTAGCAGATAAGGACATTAAAATAGTTATAACTATATCATTCTGTTTTTTAAAAAGCTAAGTAAAGATATAGAAGCTATTTTTTTAAACCAAATTGAAATTCTTGAAATGAAACTATAGTGTTTGATATGAAAAATAGGCTGAATGCTATTAAAAGCTGATGAGACATTGAAGAAAAGATTAGTGAACTTGGAGACATAGCAACAGATGCTATCCAAAGGAAAGACAGAGATTTTTTAAATGATTTTAAATGGAAAGAGAAACGGTGAGCTGTAGGACAACTTCAAGCAGCATAATATGCATGTATTTTATTCTTGAAGGAAACTCTGGTGGCGTAGTGGTTAAGTGCTACAGCTACTAACCAAAGGGTCAGCAGTTTGAATCCACCAGGTACTCCTTGAAAACTCTATGGGGCAGTTCTACTCTGTCCCATACAATCACTATGAGTCGGAATTGACTTGACGGCAATGTGTTTTTATGCATATCCTTGAAAGAAAGGGAAGCTACTGAAGAAATAGTCTCCAATATTTCTCCAACTTTGATGAAAACTATAAATCCGCAAATCCAAGAAGTTCAACAAACCTCAAGAACAAGAAATATGAAGAAAACTACACCAAGGCACTTCATAATCAAATTGCTCAAAACCGGCAAGAAAGACAAACTTTTAAAAAGCAGACAGAGCAAAAAAAATATCATATACCGTACAGAAAAAGAAAACAAAGGTAAGAATATCAGCAGATTTCTGTTTTGAAACAATGTAAGCAATAAGACAGTGGAGCAACATCTTTAAAATAAGGAAAGAAAAAACTGTCAACCTAGAATTTCCTTTTTTTCTCAAAAAAAGGGAAAAATACTTTTTCAGACATCACAAAACATTACTGATAGAAATAAAAGAAGATTTAAATAGAGACACACCTTCTTCATAAGACTCAATCTTGTTAAGATGCCAATTTTCTAAAGTTTCAAGGCAATTCAGTCAAAATTCTAGCAGGCTTTTTGTAGAAATTGGCAACCTGAATATTGGTAACAAATCACCTAGAATATCCAAAATAACTTTGAAAAATAAAGATCAAGTTGGAGGACTAACATTACTCGATTTCAAAAATTATTATAAAAGTACATTAATCAAGATAGTGTGGTACTGCTCTTACAATGGACAAACAGGATCAACCAAACAAATAGAGTCCAGAAAGAGATCCACAAGCAAATGGATAACTGATTTTCCACAAAGGTTCTAAGGCAACTCAGTGGAGAAAGGATAGTCTTTTCAACAAATGGTGCTGGAACAACAGGATATCCAGATGGAGAAAAAATAAGCTTCGATCTATACCTTGCACCATATTAAAAAATTAAGTCAAGATGTGTCAAAGACCTAAATGCAAAAACTAAAACTAAGACTTCTAGGAGACAATCTTTGTGGCCTTGGATTAGGCAAAGATTTCTTAGATACCAGAAGTATGATTCGTAAAATAAAACGCTGATAAACTGGGCTTCATCAAAATTAAAAACTTCTCTCCTTCAGAAGACACCGTTAAGAGAACGCAAAGATAAGGCCCAAACTGAGAAAAATATTGCAAAGCATGTATCTAGTGAAGAACCTGTATCCAGAATTTCTACAGAGCTCTCAAAACATAATAAGAAAATATACAAACCAACTTTTTTCAAATGTTCAAAAGACATTTCACCAAAGAAAATATATATGGATGACAATATACAAGGACGTGAAAAGATACTCAACATCATTACTCGTTGTCGTTGTTAGCTGCCGTGGAGTCAGTTCTGACTCCTAGCAACCCTGTGTACAATAGAACAAAACACTGCCGTGTTCTGCACCATCCTCACAATCATTGCTTTTTGAGCCCGGTGTTGCAGCCACTGTGTCAATCCATCTCTTGAGGGTCTTCCTCTTTTTCCCTGACCCTCTACTTTACCAAGCATGATGTCCTTCTCCAGGGACTGGTCCCTCCTGATAACAAGTCCAAAGTATGTCAGACAAAGTCTCACCATCCTCACTTCTAAGGAGCATTCTGGCTGTGCTTCTTCCAAGACAGATTTGTTTGTTCTTCCGATAGGCCATGGTATATTCGAAGTTCTTCGACAACACCATAATTCAAATGCCTCTCAGTAGTCATTAGGGAAATCAAAATTAAAACTACAGTGAGATATGAATACATACTTATTAGAATAGCCAAAATAAAAAAGACAGAACATACCAAGTTGGTGAGGATGTGTAAAATGGTAGAGCCACTTTGGGAAACAATAAGCTAAGCGTACACCAACTATATGATCTAACCATTTCATTCCTAGGTATTCACCCAAGAGAAAGAAAATATACATCTATGTAAAGACTTGTACACAAATGTTCACAGCAACTTATAATAGCCCAAAGCTGGCAACAACCCAAATGTCAGTTGACAGGTGAAAGGAGAAACAAATAGTGGTATATCCATACATATATGTTCAGCAATAACTTATTCATAACATGCAACAACATGAATGTAATTTAAAATAATTAAATACAGTGAAAGGAATCAGACCAAAAAAAAGAGTACATACTGTGTGATTCCATTTAGATAAGTCTCTAAAAACTGCAATCTAATCTTTAGTGACAGAAAGGAGACCAATTGTTGCCTGAGGATGGGGGCAGAGTGGGGAGAGGGAGAGCTTACAAAGGCACAAGGAAACATTATCTTGATTGTGGTGATGGTTTCACGGATGTTACATATACAGAAATTTAACAAATTGCATATTTTAAATATGTTCAGATTACTGTACCTCAATAAAGCTGTTTTTAAAGCAGGGGGAGGGGGAGTAGGCAACCAACATCCCAAATCAGAGCGAGGTTTTACTGTGCCTCACAGTCTAAATAAAGTAAAATACAATACGTCCAGAAATCACTGGGAAGCTAAAGATACACGCTGTCTATGACTTCTTGCTATACCTACCTCAGCTGTTTGCTTTATGAACTTGCCGGGACTTTCAGGCTTCGTTGCTGAATTCGACTCTGTCCCTTTCCAGCTGGGTGTTACATCAGCGTTAACTTCGGCCTGCTCCCTAAATGAATTTCAGATGGTATTTCACAATTATTTGGAAATCGGTATTACAGATCACTTCAGATTTGTGACTTTTAAGATACCTTTCCATTTTGAGATTCTAGGCAACATTTTCCTCTAAGATTGTTTCTATGAAGTTATACCTTTCATACAAAATAATGGCTGTTTACTATTTTTCTGACAATTGTTGAAAATGCTATAACAGAAATGAGTAGCTTTCAGGGTGTTTTTTAATTTGCTAATAATCCTTTCAATTGTTTAGCAAAGTTATACTTGCACATAGCTTACGAAAAGGAAACAGTAGGTGATGGCTTATAACGAAATCCGTTATGAGGGCTTCTGCCCCACCGCCTCTCACCGCCCTCCCGCCCAGTTCTACTGCCCAGAGGCAAGCCCAGCGAACTCTTGAGCTGTTTCTTTTAATAATTAGCTCCATATTTCTGAGAAATCTTGTTGCATCACAACACTTTAACTCGAAATAATGTGAAAGAAATCAGAATATTTTATTTCTTGAAACAAAACGTTACGGGAGAGAATTGAAAGTGAAGAGGAAAATATGCTTTTTGGGTACTATTTAAAAAAAAAAAAAAACACTTGCCATTGCGTTGATTCCAACTTGTGGAGACCCCACGTGTTTCAGAGTAGAACTGCACTCTATAGGGTTTTCAACAGCTGTGGTCTTTCAGAAGTAGATCACCAGGTCTTTCTTCCTAGGCACTTCTGAGCGGATTCGAACCGCCAACCTTAGCAGCCAAGCGCTTAACCATTTGTGCTACCCAGGGACTCCTTTTGGGGTAGTAGAGTAAAATGTTTGGGGACCAGAAAGCCCTGGGTTTGAATCCTGGCTCTGATGCTTGCTGTCCAACCTTCAGCTGGTAAATCAATTTGTCTGAACCTTTGTTTGACTATCGGTAAAATAAAGATGATAATGTGAGCCTCACAGAGATGTCAAGAGGATTAAATGAAAAAGCACAAACAGTAATGCCTGTGAAAGCTGGAAACTGTCAAGCAGAAATCTGTCAGAGAAGGAAAACGCCAATATTTTCCACTAAATAGAGAACAACAGAAGTGACGGCACCTGTCAAAGACGGAAAACTTGCGAGACCTGGAAAAACAAGGCAGTCTCCTCGAGTTCCAGCTCTCACAGGTGTCACTGTATATGCATCTTCTACATTGTTGTTGTTAGGTGCTATCTAGTCAGTTCTGACTCATACAGACCCGATGTACAACAAAATGAAACACTGCTCAGTCCTGCACCATCTTCACAACCGTTGCCATGTTTTAGCCCATTGTTGCAGCCACTGTGTCAATCCATGTCGTAAGGGTCTTCCTCTTTTTTGCTGACCCTCTACTTTACCAAGCATGATGTCCTTCTCCAGGGACAGGTCTCTCCTGATAAAATGTTCAAAATACATAAGACGAAGTCTTGCCATCCTTGCTTCTAATAAGCATTCTGGCTATACTTCTTCCAAGACAGATATGTGTGTTTTTCTGGAAGTCCATGGTATATTCAATATTCTTTGCCAAGACCATAATTCAAAGGTATCAATTCTTCGGTCTGCCTTATTCATTGTCCAGCTTTCACATGCATATGAGGTGACAGAAAATACCATGGCTTGGCTCAGGCACGCTTTAGTACTCAAAGTGATATCTTTGCTTTTTAACACTTTAAAAGAAGTCTTTTGCAGATTTGCCCAATACAATGCATCTTTGATTTCTTGACTGTTGCTTCCATGGGCACTGATTGTGGATCCAGGTAAAATGAAATCCTTGACAAGTTCAATGTTTTCTCCGTTTATCATGATGTTGCTTATTGGTCCAGTTGTGAGGATTTTCGTTTTCTTTATGTTGAGATGTAATCCATACTGAAGCTGTGGTCTTTGTACTTCATCAATAAATGCTTTAAGTCCTCTTCACTTTCAGCAAGCAAGGTTGTTAATGAGTCTTCCTTCAATCTTGATGCCCCGTTCTTCGTCATATAGTCCAACTTCTCGGATTATTTGCTCAGCATCCAGATTGAATAAGTACAGTGAAAGGACACAACCCTGACGCACACCTTTCCTGATTTTAAACTACACAATATCTCCTTGTTCTGTTCGAATAACTGCCTCTTGATCTATGTACAGGCTCCTCATGAGTACAATTAAGCGTTCTGGAATTCCCATTCTTCACAATGTTATCCATAATTTGTCATGACCCACACAGTTGAATGTCTTTGCATAGTCAATAAAACACAGGTAAACATCTTTCTGGTATTCTCTGCTTTCAGCCAATATCCATCTGACATCAGCAATGATATCCCTTGTTCCACATCCTCTTCTGAATCTGACTTGCATTTCTGATGGTTCCCTGCTGATGTACTGCTGCCATCGGTTTTTAATTATCTTCAGCAAAACTTTACTTGGATTTGATATTAATGATACTGTTCAATAATGTCCACATTCTGTTGGATCACCTTTCTTTGAAATGGGCACGAATATGGATCTCTTCCAGTCATTTGGCCAGGTAGCTGTCTTCCAAATTTCTTGCGATAGATGAGTGAGTGCTTCCAGCATTTGTATCCGTTTGTTGAAGCACGTCACTTGGTATTCTGTCAGTTCTCAGATCCTTGTTTTTCGCCAGTGCCTTCAGTGCAACTTGGACTTCTTCATTCAATACCATTGATTCTTGATCATATGCTACCTCCTAAAATGGTTGAACACTGACCAATTCTTTTTGGTATGGTGACTCTGTGTATTCCTTCCATCTTTCCTTGATGCCGTGTTGTTCAATATCTTGCCTTCAATATTGCAACTCAAGACTTGAATTTTTTCTTCAATTTTTTCAGCTTGAGAAATGCCAAGTGTGTTCTTCCCTTTTGGTTTTCTAACTCCAGGTCTTTGCACATTTCATTATAATACTTTACTTTTGTCTTCTCGAGCTGCCTCTTGAAATCTTCTGTTCAGCTCTTTCACATGATCTTTTCTTCTGTTCACTTTAGGTACCCTACGTTCAAGAGCAAGTTTCAGAGTCTCTTCTGACATCCATTTTGGTCTTTTCTTTCTTTCCTTTCTTTTTAATGACCTTTTTGCTTTCTTCATGTATGATGTCCTTGACGTCATCCCACAACTCGTCTGGTCTTCAGTCATTAGTGTTCAGTGCATCAAGTATATTTCTGAGATGGTCTCTAAATTCTGGTGGGATATACTCAAGATCATATTTTGGTTTTCGTGGATTTGTTTTAATTTTCTTGAGCTTCAACTTGAACTTGCATAAGAGCAATTGATGGTCTGTTCCCCAGTCAGCCCCTGGCCTTCTTCTGACTGATGATACTGAGCTACTCCATTGTCTCTTTCCACAGATGTAGTCGATTTGATTCTTGTGTATTCCATCTGGCAAGGTCCACATTTATGTTGTTGAAAAAAAGATATTTGCAATGAAGAAGACTTTGGTCTTGCAAAATTCTGTCATGCAATCTCCAGCGTTGTTTCTATCACCAAGACCATATTTTCAAACTACAGATCCTTCTTTGTTTCCAACTTTTGCATCCCAATCACCAGTAATTATCAATGCATCTTGATTGCATGTTTGATCAATTTCAGACTGCAGAAATTCGTAAAAATCTTCAATTTCTTCATCTTTGGCATTAGCGGATATGCATAAATTTGAATAATAGTCGTATTAACTGGTCTTCCTTGTATGCATATGGATATTATCCGATCACTGTTAGTGCTGTACTTCAGGATAGATCTTGAAATGTTCTTTGTGACCATGAATGTGATGCCATTCCTCTTCAATTTTTCGTTCCGGGCATAGTAGACCATATGATTGTCCAATTCAAAATGGCCAATACCAGTCTGTTTCAGCTAACTAATGGCTAGGATATTGATCTTTATGTGGTCCATTTCACTTCTGACAACTTGCAGTTTGTCATAATATGGCGGCTTTCGTGTTAGTGTGATGCTGGAAGCCATGCCACCAGTATTTCAAATACGAGCATGTTCACCCATGGTGGACAGGTTTCAGTGGAGCTTCCAGACTAAGACAGACTAGGAATAAAGACCTGGCAATCCACTGCTAATAAAATTGGCCAGTGAAAACCTTACGAACAGCAGCGGAACATTGTCTTGTATATTACCAGCACTCAAAAATGGTTTCTTTACCTTTCCCCACATTTTAATTCTTCTTCTTCAAAACTAAACCATATGTGGGAAGGAGGGGGACACCTCATTTTCAGTATAGCTCTTCTCCGTAACTCAGCCCCTTGGAATTTTGAAAAAGAGGCAAATATCGGGTTTTGTCTCATTCGTTAGTTAGGGACACCAGCTGGCAATATTGTGATCCCTCTTCCAAAGTGATTCAGTTTGCAGTCGTCTGGAGAATGGCCCTGTGGCTTGAAACTACTGCAGACTATGCCTCCAGCCAGTGGGTCACAGGCCTCATCGTCATCTGTCATGACCAGGAGCACACCAGCCTTCTCTTTACTGGTTAGTGGGGAGCTGGTTTGCACAGAAATCACCTCAGGATTTGTTTTACTGAAAGGCCATCAAGGTCAATTCTTCAAAAGGCCTGTCTACTGCCCAAAGACCTAGTCCTTTCATACCAGGAATCTTACCCCTGCTGGCCACTTCTTCCCTGGTCTGACGCACCCTGCTGTGGTGACTTGGGTGACTTGGGCGGGAGCTGGGTCAACATCTGGCATCCCAGGGATTCTTCTAATTCAAGAAAAAGTAAATGCTATTTAAAACCACAATTGCTTTTCAGGAGGTTTAGACCTGTGAGAGAAGAATTTGAGAACCTTGAGGCTATGCAGAGGTGGACCCTGAGCTCTAATCCAGAACCTGCCTGGCTCCTGGTAACCCTCAGTACATTTTCCGATGAAGGGAAGCGTGGGAGTAGGTGCTGGGCAGGGTTCAGTTCCTCTGCCACAGAGAGACTTTGGAATTCCCAGGGGCGGAATTGGGGCAAAGGTGAAGAAGCGAGAATGGTTCTCCCCCAGACTCGCAGAAATCTTGGGGCTCAGCCCCTTCAGAAGCTTCTGCGGAGCTAGAGCCTTTCTTAGCTCTACCTGCGGGAGAGCTGTCACCTCAGTCTCGCTTCCCCTGAAATGTGGTAGGAAGGTTCAAGAGAGCCGCTGGATGCCTGGCTCACTGGGTAGGTCGTAACTGTATCTGTGATGGAATTACTAACAAATGATCATTCTGAACTATTCATTCATTACGCTCAACAGGTGTTTCACACAATCAAATGGTGACTACGGTGACTTATCTGAGGTTCCGACGGCCTGCCGGGGTCAGCGGCTACCATTCCCCAGGCAGACCCGCTGGGGTACAGCTGACTGAAGGGGAGGAAGCTCTGGCCGCCCCCGGGGCCAAGTACCGGAGGCTTTCGACGTGGCTTTGGAGCCGGGCTGCGGCAACCGAGAGAGGCGGAACCTGTGTTTGCCACCGGCCGCGGGGCTCAAGCCCATCCCGCCACTGCTGCCCGCCCAGCCCCGGCCCTCGCAAGCCCGCCAGGTCTCAGTCGGCGCGGTCCCTGGTCGGCAGAGCTGCCAGGTCGTGGGCGCTCGGGCGGCGCGGGGAGAGGCTGAGATGGCAGGGAGAGGTGGAGGGGGGCGGGGTGCATCGCAAACGGCGTGGGGGCGCGGGGGGCGCGGGGAGAGGCTGAGATGGCAGGGAGAGGCGGAGCGGAGCGCGGGGGGCGTCGCAAACGGCCGTGGGCGCGCAGGGCAACGGCTAGGGCCCAGTGAGCATGTCCAGGGACAGAGAGGGGCACCAATGACGGCTCTGGAATGCCCAAGAATCTGGGGGCCTTCGAGAGGACAGGCAGGGAAAGGGACGCAGGAGGTTGTTCGTGGAGTGGAAGGCAGCGCAAAACACTGCCCAAAAGTCTTGGAATATGGCTGGAGAAGCTGAGTGTTAAGGAGCAGACAGAGGAGCGATATCTGGAGAGTGGGGGCTGAGGCCAGATTAGGAGTGCATTGGGGAAGACATTCAGAAGTTAAAACCTGGAAGAGTTCATAGTTTCTCTTTAAAACTAATAACAATTGTTGTTTGGTGCCGTCCAGTTGGTTCCGACTCATAGCTACCCTATGTACAACAGAAGGAAACGTTGTTGCAGCCATGGTGTCAATCGGTCTCATTGAGGGTCTTCCTCTTTTTCGCTGACCTTCTCCTTTACCCCGTAATTCAAAGGCATCAATTCTTCTTCCGGCTTCCTTATTCATTGTCCAGCTTTCCCATGCATATAAGGCCATTGAAAACACCATGGCTTGGGTCAGGCGCACCATAGTCCTCAAAGTGACATCTTTGCTTTTCAACACTTTAAATAGGTCCTTTGCAGGATTTGCCCGATGCAATACGTCTCACGAAACCCGTGAGAGGGGCAACTTGACGGGGCTGCCTTGTTTTTCCGGATCTCAAAGGTTTTCTGCCTTTGACAGGGTGCAGTCTTACCACTTTTCGGTGCTCTCTGTTAGGGGAAAATATTTGAGTTTTCCTTCTCTGAAAGGTTTCCGCCTTACACGGATTCTGATTTTTGCAGGTTTTACTGTATTATGTATTATATGCAAAAGAACACATGGAATGTAGGTAGTTATGAAACATAATAATAAAATTGCTGTTGTTGTTAATTGTGGTGACTCATGGTGACCAGTAAGTATGACAGACCCAAAGATTGCCTGGTTTGGTTTTCTACCACCTTCACGATCGTGTTTGAGTCCAATAGTCCACTACGTATTAATACATGACCCTACTTTCGAATGGTAACATACCCAATACAGATGCTTCTCCCTATATGTTCTTCCCTTATCCTATCTCCCTGCCTCCCCACCCAAGGTAACGTCTGTCCTGGATTTTGTGCCCTTATGCCCTTGCATTTCTAAAATAGTTTTTGTAATCGTTTATTTGTATCCCCAGTATATTGTTTTGTTTTGTTTTCATCTTTATAAAAATGGTATCATGGTGTATGTTGTCTTCTGCAACTTGCTTCTTTCAAAATTGTTTCTATGATACATCCATGTTTATGTGTAGACCTGTAACTCATTTTCACTGCTGTAAAATATTCCATTATGTGAATATACCACAATTTAGTAATCCAGTGATAAAGCCATTGTTGTTGTGTTTTTTTGGTTTGTTTTTGTTTTTTTTTTTAATTTTGTTTTCTGGCTGGTTGAGTTTCCCCCTCCCTGCCAATCTGGGGTTGGAAACAATTGAAAAGAAAACCCTGGTGCATGCGTGCAAGAGATTCTATGGGTTTAATACCTAGGAGGGTGTTATGGATTGAACTGTGTCTCCCAAAAATGTGTGTCAAATTGGCCAGTCCATGATTCCCAGTATTGTGTGACTGTCCACCATTTTGTCATCTAATGTGATTTTTCTATGTGTTGTAAATCCTACATCTATGATGTTAATGGGGTGGGATTAGTGACAGTCATGTTAATTAGGCAGGACTCCATTTACAAGATTAGGTTATGTCTTAAGTCAATTTCTTTTGAGATACAAAAGAGAGAAGCGAGCAGAGAGACATGCGGACCTCATACAACCAAGAAAGTAGAGCCACATGCATGCGTCCTTTGGACCCAGGGTCCCTGCCCTGAGAAGCTCCTAGAGCAGGGGAAGATTTATGACAAGGACCTTTCCCTAGAACCAGCAGAGAGAGAAAGGCTTCCCCTGGAACTGGCACCCTTAATTTGGACTTCTAGCCTCCCAGACTGTGAGAGAATAAATTTCTGTTTGTTAAAGCCATCCACTTGTGGTATTTCTGTTATAGCAGCACTAGATAACTAAGACAGAGGGTATGCAAATGTTCAGCTTCACAACAGAACACTAAGACGATTTCCCAATTGGTGGTACCAGATTCACTTCTGCCAGCCATGTGTAATTGTCCTTGTTAATTTACATCTTCACCAACACTTAGTACTGCCACTTTTTATAAACTAGTATTTACTGTAGTTTTAATTTATATTTCCCTGATCACTAATAAGATTTAGACCTTTACATATGTTTATTAGCCATTTAGATTTCCCCTTTGGAAAAGGGCTTGTTCATGTCTTTTGCCCATTTTTCTTTTGAGTTATCTTATTGATTTGTAGGAGCTCTTTATATGTTCTTAATACTCATCTTCAGTCAGTTCTATGTGTTTACACATATTTTCTTCCACTTGATGGTTTGTCTTTTCCCTTTCTTTATGATGTCTTTTGATGACGAGAAGTTATTAACTTTCATGAAGTAGAATTTATCAGTCTTTTGTGGTTATTTCTCTGCATCTTTTCATGAAGTCCTTCCTTGCCCTGAAGTCAGAAAAATATTCTTCTATATTGTAAAAATTTTTTAAATTTTGCCTTTTTATTACATGTACCTGGAATTGATTTGTGTGTATGTGTACAACAGGGGTCCAGTTTTGTTTTTCCCCATATGAACAATCAGTTGTCTCAGGACCACTTATTGATATTCTCTCCTTTCCCCAGTAATGAGCCAGACAGTCTCTGTCACGTTTTGGGTTTTCATGAATGAGCAGGAATATCATTGGCTGTATTTTATTCCATTTTCCCTGCTTTATGATATTTCTGTCAAAACAGTTCTATTTCTGTGGGGGTGGGGGGAGATAATTGTAAAGCAGCCGGCTTTGTTCTGTTCTCTTCTAAGTGCATGTCTTCCCCCTCCAATTAGACTGTAACCTTCTTGAGGGCAGGACTGATTGTTGCTCCCTTTAACCACCACAGCACCCAGTTATGAAAAATGGCTGCAGCTACCCAAACTCACTTGTAGGGCAGAATAGCACCAAAATAAATCAAAACTATTTTCTCAAAAGTTTATTAACATGCTTTTGGGCAACAGCACCTTCATTCCTTCAACAAATATTGATTGAACATCCCCTGTGTCCGGGATCTGTGCAGACTGACCCCTGCACTCATTCCCACCTCCACCAAAGTGATCTTGACTAGAATACACCAGCTGGTCACCCCTCCAGATCATACCCACCAGCTCCCTGATTTTTGTTAATGGCACCAGAATCTTCCCAGTTATCAGGTTCAAGATGCTGGAGTCACTTTTGCTTGTTCCCTTTCCTTGGTCTCCCTTATCCAAATACCAGGTTCTGTCAAGTCTTCCTACCTAGTATTTCTCCTAATTATCCTAACGAAGGAGATGCGTTACTTTCTGTTCTAAGAGGACATGAAACTGGCCCCAGGAGGAGGAGGATTCAGGAGAGAGTGTCCAGTGACCAAGAAGGGAATCAGATGGAAAATATAGGGAGATATGGCGACCAAAGCAGGTTAATCTAGGCATTAGTCTCTCCGTAGACCCAAACAGTTACACCCACTTAGGAGCAGGGATTGTGAAAGAAGCTCCTGGGCTAAAGAATGGCCCCTGGTCACGGGTCATGTTTCCAGGTTATGAATGGTCTATTGATGCATATAGATAAAATTCCCCCATTGTAATTTGTGGCCAATTAGAAGAGTGTGTGCTTGGTTTCACAATTCCACACCTGCTGGGGAGAGACAGCTGAAGACAAAGACAGAGAACAGACAGCAGCCATAAACCATCACTTGTTACATTGATTCATTCTATAAATATATTTTGAGCACTTACTCTGTGTCAAGCACTTTGCTCAGTCCTGAGGGTGTAAGAATAACACTGCCCTTGTGGTGCTTATAACTGGGGAGTAGGGGTAGTGGAGAAGTCCCTAGGTGGTACAAACAGGTGAGCAGCCAGCTACTGACCGAATGGTTGGTGGTTTGAATCCACCTAGAAGCACCTCAGAAGAAAGGCCTGGCCATCTACTTCTTGCAGATCGTAGCCATTGAAAATCCTATGGAGCACAGTTCTACTCTGACACATATGAGGTTGCCATGAATCGGAATCAACTCAATGGTAACTGGTTTGGACTTTTTGGTTAAGGGGAATGGGGAGACAAACATTAAACAATTCTTCAAATATAAAATGACAAGTTGTGGAATGTGCACTGAGGGAAAAGTACAGGGTTAGGGAGCTGGAGTGAGGGTGGAGGGATCTGGGCCCTGCCAGTGTCAGGGTCAGCAGCGCGGGCCACTGGGGCCCCTGGGGTCATCAGCCTGTGCTTGGACCTCTCTCCCAAGTTCCCCCTCACTCTGGCTCAGGGAGAGGGACTTGCACTCCCTCACCGCCCAACAGAAACACAGACTCTAAGATCCTTTCTTATTCTTGAGCAAGGACAAGCTTTTGAGGTGTTTTGAGATGCAAATATGCTTCTTCCTTCTGCTACCTCCCCTGAGGGAGGCCTCACCAGCCCCTCCTCCACCCTTGACTGTTGCAATCACCATGGGGGTTCAGAAAGAGAAAGCTTATAGCTAGTCCTCCTTCCTCCTTGCAGATTAAGACACTGATGTTGGGGTGGAGGTTAGGTGGAGGAGAGACACCACTTGCCTCCTAATCACTTCTGCCATTTGCCAGAAGGTCATTGCTGCCGGGACTGGGACCAGGGCAGGCATCTGATTCCCAGTACAGGGCTCGGTGTCCCTGGCCAACTGGTCTTTCCACCTCTGGTTTCTCCCTGGTCCCTCTGCTGTGTGAATAGATTTCTCTTCCTGAACACTGCTCTGATCATATTTCCCCGCTCAAGCACCACCAGCAGTCCAGTGCCACCCATCCAGCAAGGACTGAACAAACCCCTTGGCTTCTCAAAGCCCTTCCACTTAGGACTAAGTCAGCACTTCTTAACATTATCCTGTATCAGAATCACCTGGAGAACTTATTAAAATGCAGATTCCTGGGCCCCACTTCCAGAGATTCGGCTTCAGGGGATCCAGGGTGGGGCCCAAGAATGTGCATTTCTAACAAGCTTCCAGGTGACCCTGGAGAACATCTTGAGTAGCACTGATGAAGGTACTTTCCCCAGAACCCTCTGTGCTCTCCCCACTCCATCAAAGGAGCTGCTTACTCTCCCCTCCCCTCCCCATCCCCTGTGCTTGAGCCTTTGCCCAGGCTGGTCCTGCCAGGAAACCCTTGCTGCCAAGTCTGACACTGTGGTCAGATCCTGGGACCTCCTGACTCGGGATAAAGTGAAGAGGCTGTGCCGCTGTTTAAAGGGAAAGACTTACTGGAATTTGAACCAGAGCTGGAAGTACTCTGAGTCCAAATCATCACAGGGAGCTTGATAAAAACGCAGGTCTCTGGACCCGACCCCCAGAGGCAGATCCCCTGGGAGACACATTGCTTGGGTCACCCTCAAAATACAGATGATGAAACTGAGGTCCAGAGCGGGGACATGACTTGTCCATGGGCACACAGCAAGTTAAAGCAAAGGTCAGGCAAGAACCCGGGACTCCTTCAGTGTAGCTGTCTGCTCCCCTTTTCTGAACCTACTGGAGCTCTCCTCCCTCCCTGACCTGTTCTCACCTGCCCCTGTCCCACTTTCCTGTGACCCCAGCTGGGCCCTGGCTTTTCCATCTAGTGCTGAAATGAAGCCTCAGGAGACTGTAGAACTTGGAAAAGGGAGAAGAGTGGGGAAAGGGGCAGGGAAAGGAGGAAAAGATATGAAAACTTTTGCAGGCTGCCCGGGGAGGGAAGGAAAGCACAGAAGCTATCCAAGGTTGTCCACAAAGCTGGGGGCGGGGCTTCTGCTGGGTGCACATGTACCCCCACGCCTCCCCCTGACTCGGTGAGGGCCCGGAAACCACAAACCCTTGTGACCTCAAAGGAGCCAGCCCTGGCGTCCTGCTGCAGCGGCCTTATGCTCCAGTACCAGAGGGGTGGGTGAGCCGGGTAGTAGTTAGTTAGATGGTTTGTGGTTAGTTGGTTGGTTGGTCGGATGGTTGGTTGGTTAGTTAGTGCGAGCTTCCCACCCCTGGACCCAGAGTGTCTGCTGACAGAACTAGCCCAGCCTGAACGGCGGCTCTGCTGTGCACAGGGCTGGGGGCTGGTGGGGGCCGGGGGCTGGCCTGCTGTCCTCCCAGCCCTGCCCTCCCAGGCCTGCTCCAGCAGCCTTAGGACCCTGTAGGGCGCAGGTGAGACTAACAGCTGGGAGAGCTGCCTGACACTTTAGGGTCCTGGCTGGAGAAGGTGAGTCTGCCCAGCGGAGGCAGGGCTCCTGGAATCCAAATTAGCAGCCCAAGTTGGAGTCGCCCACTCCCCGCCCATGTCACCTGAAGAAAAGCTGGACCCGCTTCCTGACAGCTTCATCCTGCAGCCGCCAGTCTTCCACCCGGTGAGCAGCGCTCTGACCTGGAGCCTCCTGGGACTCAGGGCTCTTCCCTTCCAGCTGGGCTCACACTGTCAGCTGGTGGGACAGACAGGCCCTCCATCTTAGGGTCCGCTTTCCCAGGCACCTGCCCACGAGCTCTGGAAGTCCCTCCTGAGCTTAGCAAAGTGGTTGACCAGCTCATTCCCACTTGGGTGTGGATGACTGCTGGGCTCCCGGGGTCCTTGCATTTTGCAGGTAGCTGAGCCTGGTGAGGCAGTGCTGTGCCCCTAAAGCAATAGGTGGCTTCCTAGAAGAGGGGGGGAGGGGAGATGGGGACTTTCAGAAGTATTATTGGGGAGTGGAGGGGACACTGATTACCTATGAGGGTCAATCGCATCTCCAGCTTTGAAGGGAAGGCCAGGTTGGAACCTCCAACTCAGGGATGGGGAGGGGTTTCCTCTCCTCTTGCTCAGCGCTAGGGCGGATTTACAGAAGACTGAACTCCCAGAAGGACCCCTCCCCCCACCCCACGGGGCTGTAACTGGACTGAGGAGCACTAATTGTCACTTTGCCTTTACTTGGGCCTCTCCTTCCTGGAGCGCTGCCTCAGCTCACTCAGCTACGAGCCAGGCCTGGAGCCTGGTAATTGGGAGCAGCTGAACTGTTGAACCCAGCTAAGCTGTTGGCATTCTGACAGGCAGGGTCCCGGCCTCCCATACCACCCCAGGTGCTCAACTAATGGGGTGAAGTAGCTGCACAGGTTACAATGGCTCCTTTCTTTAGGCTGAGAGCTTCCACTAGGAGGGCAGCACTGGTGGGTCTCTCCCTGCTCTTCCAAGGTCACTTGGGGTTCTGAAGTCTGCTGGGAGTTGGAGACGGACATGGAGGGAGGGCCGATCTTGTGACAGTGTGTCACATGCACCTGCTGTACTGTTCACATGCGTCCGGCAAACATCTACTCGGAGCCCACCCTGTGCTAGGCCAGGCGCTGGGCCTACAGAAGGGCAAGAAAGGCTTTGAGGGACTGTAGCCTCCCAGGGTCAACAGCCAGCCACACATCTCCATCCAAGCCAGTGGGTCAAGAACCATGCCAGCCAGGCGAGTGGAATGTTCTGGGAGCACAGTGGGGGAAGGGAACAATTCAGGCACCAGAGTGGATGATGCTTGGAGAAGGCATCAAAGAAAATGGCAGGAGCCTTGGGGTGAAGGGGGAGCAAAGGAAGGAAAAGCACTGGAATAGGAAGGAGTTGTGAAGGCGTGCAGTGTGTCTTAAGAATGTTAGCAGCTCCTACGAGGGGAAAGGTGGGCCCAGGAAAGTAGTCAGGGGCCATTGTTAGGTATTGCTCCAGGCGTCCCTATCAGGGTCAACTCACATTTCCCAAATTGTCCATCCTCCTTCTCCTAGTTCCCAGGCTCTGGTCATTAAAGAGTCTTCAGGAAGCCTTGGTACGAGGCTTCCGGGAGCCAGGATAGCATCCAGCGGATGGGGAGCAGCACTGGGGACAGAGCAGCCTACCAAGCCCTAGAAGCCAGGGGTAACGGCTGGGCTGGTGGTGCTCCAAAGGGACAGTGGAGTTGAACTTGGCTTCCCTAGTGCAGGGTATCTTTGAGGAGTGATGTTCGAGGAAAGGGGAGTAGGTGGGAAAGAATATTTCAGAGAAAGATAATTTTTTCCCTTAAGCAGCTTTTCTATTCTGGGAAAAAGTTGAGTTTTCTTGTTCTTCTTTGCTTCCCTCTCCCCTCATCTGACATAGGGGTCCCTGGGCCCTTCCTCCAACCCTGCATGGATGGTATTTCTCCTCTTTTTCAGGTAATTCCTTATGTCACGACAATTTTTGGTGGCCTACACGCTGGCAAGATGGTCATGCTACAGGGAGTAGTTCCCCAACATGGACACAGGTAAGGGGTGTGGCTCATGGGGATGATGGAACTCAACTCTAGAGGCTCCAAGCTGGGGCTTCTCTCTGCCTTCAGGGTCACTCTGGTGGTTGGGAGGACCTCCAACTGAAGTTGCCATTTGAGAGCCTTATCTTCCACCAGGTTCCAGGTGGACTTCCAGTGTGGCTGCAGCCTGCAGCCCCGGCCAGATATCGCCATCCACTTCAACCCTCGCTTCCATACCACCAAGCCTCACGTCATCTGCAACACCCTGTATGGTGGGTGCTGGCAAGCAGAGGCCCGGTGGCCTGGCCTGCCCCTGCAGAGAGGGGCCAGCTTCCTCATCCTCTTTCTCTTTGGGAATGAGGCAGTGAAGGTAAGTGGACGGGATGACATTGGGTCGATCTAGAACTTGTGTTCTTCTACCTCTCCCTTCCCTCAGCCAAATTCCCCATGTCACTGTGTTGAGTGGCATTGGTGGGAAGGAGTGGATACTGAGAGGAGCTGCCGAGAAGAGCTCCAAGGAGCTGCCAAGCCCAGTTCCAGGCTGCCCTAGACCCACCTTGCCTGGGACACTTGGTGGCAAGAAAGCTCTACTGTGTTTGGCCCTGGAGAGGGCATCACAGCCATAATCCTAGCAAGCACTTAGAGAAAAATACCAGTTGTTTTCAAGTTGATCCCAACTCATGCCAACCCCATGTGCACCCACTGTATGCCAAGCGTTGGTCTAAGACTTTTAAATACATCAGCTCATTTAATCCTCACAATAGCCCCATGAGGTGAATACTATCATTATCTCCATTTTATGGCTGAGTGGGCAGGGAACAGAGACGGAAGACTTGACCTCAAGGTTTTGACTTCTGTTGTGAGCTCCTGCTGGAAAGAAAGATGGCAGGACCTCCAGACTTCTCCAGTGGAGAAGGTAGCTAGTGGGAGAGAGCCAGCAGTGGGAAAATCCTGGGGCAGATGGTGGGGTGGGGGGAGGGTGTTGTGGCATATGGGGTAACCACACAGCCTCCTGAGCCTCAGTTTCCTCACCTGGAGCTGTGGGTGCTGCTGCTGCTAAGAAGGCGAAATGAGGGACTGCACGGAGATGTGCCTTGTCAGGGGCAGAGAGGGGCCTGGATTCCAAGGCCAGCTCTGCCATCTGCCAACTCTGCAGCTTGGGAAGGTTACTTAAGCTCCCAAGTGTTGGGCACCACATCAGTAAAATGTACCTACCTCACAGAGTTTTTGTGACGTTAGATGAGAACTATCCAGGTAGAAGTGCCTACTTATGCCTGTCAGGTTACTATGAACTCAGTGAACACTAGCTGCTGTTGAGCCAGCCTCTGTCTCTCTCTCCAGGTGAGCGTGAATGGACACCACTTTCTCCACTACCCCTACCGGCTCCCACTGTCCCGGGTGGACACCCTGGGCATATTTGGTGACATCTTGGTGAAGGCCATTGGATTCCTGAACATCAACGTAAGTTCCTCTGGTGCCAAGGCCTGAGTGCAGAGCTTTCAGTGTCCTCTGGCACCTAGATGGGCCTGGGGACCCCCTCCCCTGACCCAGACCAAGAGACAGATAAAGGAGAGGGAATCCATAGGGATGTCGGATGTGAGTAGGGGTGGGGAAGAGAAGGTGAGGACAGAAAGGGGGCCTGAAGTCTGCAAGGGTCTGGGGTCTGGTTAACACTGAAGAGCAGTGGCCAGGAGGTGAATGACTGGAGCAGTGGAGCCCAAACAGACTACAGTCTGCTGGATTATTCTCAACTGAGAAGCTTAATGAAAATGCAGATTTCTGGGACCCACCACCAGAGATTCAGATTCAATAAATCCGAGGTGGGGCTTTCCCAGTTTGGGAATCACTGCCAGGCAGCGTGGGAAGAATGAGAAGCTATAAAGGCCAAAGCCTGGCCTCTGCCCACCTCCCAGGCCTACACAGGGAGGATGGGAACAAAATAAACGCTGCCTAGCGCCTTGTGGTGGTCTGAATCCTGCTTGTTGTTCTTTCTCTTTGCACAGCCATTTATGGAGGGCGGAAGAGAATATCCAGTCGGACATGTGAGTCTCTTGGGGGCAAGGTTCCCTCATGGCAACCAGAGCCTTGAGGGAAGGGGCTGCTGGGCGTTTTGGTCCTGGCCACACTAGCTGGCCAGCTTGTTCTCCCTTCTCCTCCAGCTGGGCTGCCACTCACATTGCACAAGTCCCAGCAGCCCCTTCCCTCACGGCTCTGGTTGCCATAGATATGGCTGCCTCAGCTTCAGTCCTTAGAGAGCCTAGATTGGCCTCTCCTGACCTGTCTTCCAAGGAGCCCTGGTGGCACTGTGGTTAAAGCATTCAGCTGCTGACCAAAAGATGGGTGGGTCGAACTCATCAGCCACTCCATGGGAGAAAGATGTGGCTGTCTCCTTCCATAAAGATTACAGCCTTGGAAATCCTATGGGGCAGTTCTACTCTGTCCTATAGCGTCGCTATGAGTTAGAATTGACTCGATGGCAGTGGGTATTCAATGGATCTATTTTGCAGCTGGGAAAATGGATGGGGCTGCACTGGATGCCTGAAGTGGGCAGGACCCTGTCTTCCTGTCAGGCAATCCCTCTCAGGAGCAGGTGGCATAGTGGTTAAGAGCTACAGCTGCTAACCAAAAGGTTGGCAGCTTGACTCCACCAGCCACTCCTTGGAAACCCTATGGGGCAGTTCTACTCTGTCTTGTAGCGTCACTATGAGTTGTGATCTACTGGACGGCAATGGATTTGGTTTGGTCCATCTCTCTCAGTTGGAGCTTTCAGTTCTCAGAGCAACCCTGTGAGGTAGTTAGGGTTGGCCCCTCAGGACAGAATGAGAGATAAGGCCCATGTACTTGCCCAAGGCCACACAGAGAGTGTGATAGAACCTCCCATCCCGTCTTCCCCATTATTCCACAGCTGGTGATCCTCTAAGTTCAAGAGGACCCCCACAGGGACACCAGTGAGTCACCTGCTTCTGTGGGAGGCAAACCCCAGATACCCCCAATTTCTAATGATAATGCTAGCAGGTACCCTTTCATTCAGCAAACACATGTCCTCCCTGTCTCTATTTTCTTTCCTTGTAGCCTTTCCTGCTGAAAAGCTCCAGGCTGGTGAGTGACCCTTCCTCCTCTTCTCTCCTGGAGGTGTAGTCCCTTACCTGCTCATGAGCCCCACCTGGTGGAAAATGCCCTCGGCATCAGGGTTTCCCCTTCCTTCACGGAAAACTGCAGGCTGTGGGGTGGACCAGGCAGCTTCAAACTGACGCTCCAGTTTCACTTTTACCCTTGCTTCATTCGTTCTGCAAACAGTTATGTGACACTGCTCTGTGCCAGGCCCCGGGCCAGGCTCTAGGATAGAGGGACAAGCCTGTCTCAGCCCTCCAGGAGCTCACAGGCTGGTGGGGGAGAGAGACCACTGAACAGACCATTATGGTTCAGGATGCAGGGATGGGAGGCGTACTATGCACTCAGGGCACCGAGGGGCACCGAGCTCAGCCTGGAGCAGTCCAAGAAAAGCTGTGGGCAGGAGCGGGGTACAGGAAGACTGGCCTGCAGTAGGTGTTGAATAAATAAGTAGAGCCGAGTCTTCTCCTAGCTGCAGGCCCGGAGACAGAAGCTTACCTGCTCTAGTGCTCCACTGGCCCCTGAGGGCAGCCCAGGAAGCCCCTCCTGGGGGCAGGTGCCTTTCCCTGAGCACACCCCCCTCCCCATGAGTCACTTTCTCAGTCATCTCCGTTGTGTGTTCCTTCAGGAGGTACCCTGTTCGCGTGCTCTCCCCCAGGGTCTCTGGCCTGAGCAGGTCATCATAGTGCGGGGGCTGGTCTTGCAAGAGTTGGAGGAGTAAGTACCCGATGGAGGGGAGGAAGTAGCACCTCTGTAAGTTGCCCAAGGTCACAGAGCTCCTGAAAGTCAGGCTGGGAGTGGCACCAGGTGGGGCTGCCCTCATGGCCCCAACAGCCTCACCTTTGGGAGCATCTTCCCGACCAGGACACCTGGTCAGGCCAACTGTCCTCTCATTAAAAGCCCTGGCTTTTGAGGCCATGAGAGAAGACATGCCTCTCAAGATGACAGCCTGGAGGCCGGGTTGGGGGAGGGGAGGGGCTGGGGTTAATGCTTGGAAGCCTAGACTTGGAGGGACACACTTACTAAGTGGACACTGCCTGACTGCTCCTGCAGGGGTCGCTCCCACCTCATCTGCCAAACCTGTGGGCTCAAATCCAGTCCTAAAGAGAAGGGCATTTATTTATGTATTTATTTACTTATTTATTTGTTTGTTTATTATTTATTTATCTATATATCTATTTTTGGAGATGAATTGATTTTATGATTTTTCTCGGCCAGATTGCCTGGGTTTAACTTCTGCTTCATCCACTTACTACATGGGTGACCTTAGGGCAATTACTTTTCCTCTCTATGCCTCAGTTTCCTTATCTGTAAAAGGGGGTAATGATAGTGCCAGCTTCAGAGGTGGAGTAAATGCTAAGACCAGTGCCTGGCACATATTAAGTGATCAACAGATGTGGGTGTATTAGAATTACCTCAGAAAGTAAGGGGAGTGCCCTGTGTCCCCCTAGCCTTGCCCCTTTTGTTTTTAAGTCTCTGACCTCACTAAACCCTTGTTTGCATGCTCTTAATCATGCCCATGAACTCTGGGGCAGGCATGAAGCCCAGCACAGGTCAGCACGGGCTTTGGAACCAGGCACACCTGGGATGAATTCCTAGTTTTGCCTGTTATAAACTCTGTGGTATGGGGCAAGTCACTACACCCCTCTGAGTTTCCATTTCTCCATCTGAAAAAAGGAGGGAGAGAATCCCAGTCTTATAGGGAAAACAAAAAGGAGCTCAGTGGTAGAAAGAACCACCCCCCAAAACTAGGAGATATGAGAGCAGGTTTGTGTCCTCGCTCAAAGTCACATGGTTATTATTAGTAACACAGCTAGTAACTTAACTGCTCTTTCTCAAAGGCCATGAATGCAGATGCCCTCGGAAGCCAGGCAGGTCACATTGTGAGGCACTAGGATGGGTAGGTGGTGAAGTAGAAAGAATATTTCCATAGGTCCAGTGATAACAGATCTTCTGATTATTTTTAAAGAGAGCTGGAAGCCATTTTTTATATAAAATCTCTATTTTTGAATACTGTATTAATTTAAAATCTAAGCATACTTACAGAAGACTATACTAAGAATTCTGCAGGCCAATCCAGCCATAGGCCATGAACATCAAGACTTAACACTGTGCCTGGCGCTTGGCAACACTGCAATAAATGCCACTGCTGCTGTTGTTACTGATTTCTGAAAGTGACTGATGGCTTGAATTGGCCAGAAGCGAACGAGAGTTGGACGGCACGAGGCTCATTTGCAGTGAAAATATGCCCTCCACACACACCATACTTGTTCAATCCTTTCACCATACTTATTCAATCCTTTCACCATACTTATCCAATCTGCATGCTGAACAAATAATCCGAGAAGCTGGACTATATGAAGAAGAATGCAGCATCACAACTGGAGGAAGACTCATTAAGAACCTGCATTATACAGATGACACAACCTTGCTTGCTGTAAGTGAAGAGGAAATGAAGCACTTACTGATGATCAAAGACCACAGCTTTCAGTATGGATTACACCTTAACATAAAGAAAAAAAATCCTCACAACTGGACCAATAAGCAACATCATGATAAACAGAGAAAACGTTGAAATTGTCAAGGATTTCATTTTACTTGGATCCGCAATCAACGCCCATGGAAGGAGACGTCAAGAAATCAAAAGACACATTGCATTGGGCAAAGAGGCTGCAAAAGACCCCTTTAAAGTATTAAAAAGCAGAAATGCCACTAAGGTGCACCTGATCCAAGCCATGGTGTTTTCAATCACCTCATATGCATGCAAAAGCTGGACAATGAATAAGGAAGACTGAAGAAGAGTTGATGCCTTTGGATTATGGTGTTGGCAAAGAATATTGAATATACTAGGGACTGCCAAAAAAATGAACAAATCTGTCTTGGAAGAAGTACAGCCAGAGTGCTTCTTAGAAGCCAAAATGGCGAGACTTCATCTCACATGCATTCGCATGTTATCAGGAGGAACCAATCCCTGAAGAAAGACATGGTAAAGTATAGGGTTGGTGAAAGAGAGGAAGACCCTCAACAAGATGGATGGACACAGTGGCTGCAACAGTGGGCTGAAGCATAGCAATGATTGTGAGGACGGTGCAGGACCGGGCAGTGTTTCGTTCTGTTGTACATAGGGTCACTGAGTTGAAACCAACACAATGGCACCTAACAACACACACCAAGATATGGCTGCAGCCTCAAGGAGCTTCCATTCGACAGAGCTCCACTGGACATCTAGAGGGAGTCCATTGCCCAGCCTAGGGCTGTGCTGTATAGGCATAAGGTTGGGGGGGCACTGAGGCCTCCAAGAATTCTCAGGCCAGTGGGAAAACAAAACCTTACCTAGAGAGCTGAGAAAAGGGGCTTGGAGGAGAGAAAGGCATAGAAAAGAGCTGATGTGGAGGTAGGTAAGGGGGCTTGGGGCTTGGTCTGACTAGCTCTCTGGCCACACGGGGCTGGAGGCTCCGCAGAGTCCATTCTCCAGGGACCCTACCTTCTAAGCTTCTTCCAGCTTTAAGCCCATGCCATCTCCTTCCCAAAGCTGGGAATTTATGGAGCCTCCTCCTGCAATGGATCCACCAAGAGTCCCTAAAAGCCCACCCAGGGCATGCATTTTGCCCTCTTTGTCCCTCCATCTGCTCCCTGTGTCTCCTCTCACTCTCAGGAGTCAGCTGGCAGCAGCTTCTTGGGGGGGGCTGTTTTAAAGAAGGTGACCTTGTGAGCGCCCAAGACATAAAACAGAATCTGTCTGCCCTATTTGTGAGGCAGGTGCCAGGCAGTAGAAAGACCCCTGCAAATCCAGAGGCATGAATCCTGGTTCACATCCCAGATTGAGGCCCCTACTGCTATTACTAGTAACAGATCAAGTCATTTAACATCTTTTCCTTATCAGTAAAATGGGCTGATAAACTTCATGGCACAGGATTTTTGTGAGGACTAAGAAAAACAAACACTAACATCTGTAGGACATCTGTAGGACACCTACTGTGTGCTGGGTACTTGCTAGTTTTCACACAAATTATCTCCTTTGTTCCCATCAGTGGTCCTATAAGTAGTAATATTTTAATAACAATAGATTTATCATTTAAGTGTTTACTAAGTGCCAGGCGTTGTTGTAAATGTTACAAGTATCAACTCATCTAATTCTCACAACAGCCCATGAGACAGGTTGTTGTTGTTAGGTGTCATCGAGTTGCTTCCAACTCGTAGCGACCCTGTGTACAACACAACGAAACACTGCCCAGTCCTGCGCCATCCTCACAATCGTTCTTGTGCTTGAGCCCAATGTTGCAGCCACTATGTCAATCCAACTCATGGAGTGTCTTCCTCTTTTTCGATGACCCTCTACTTTACCAAGCATGATGTCCTTCTCCAGGGGCTGATCCCTTCTGATAACATGTCCAAAGTATGTGAGATGTAGTCTCGCCATCCTTGCTTCTAAGGAGCATTCTGGTTGTACTTCTTCCAAGATGGATTTGTTTGTTCTTTTGGTAGTCCATGGTATATTCAATATTCTTCGCCAACACCATAATTCAAAGGCCTCTGTTCTTCTTCCGTCTTCCTTATTCCTTGTCCAGCTTTTGCATACATATGAGGCAATTGAAAACACCATGGCTTGGGTCAAGTGCACCTTAGTCCTCAAGGTGACATCTTTGCTTTTCAACACTTTAAAGAGGTCTTTTGCAGCCAATTTGCCCAATGCAAGGCGTCTTTTGATTTCTTGACTGCCGCTTCCATGGGTGTTGATTGTGGATCCAAGTAAAATGAAATCCTTGACAACTTCAATCCTTTCTCCATTTATCATGATGTTGCTTATTGGTTCAACTGTGAGGATTTTTGTTTTATGTTGAGGTGTAATCCATACTGAAGGCTGTGGTCTTTGATCTTCATCAGTAAGAGACGGGTACAGTACCATTATTATCCCCCTATTAGAAACAAGGAAACTGAGGCACAGAGGACAAATGACTTGCCAAGGTCACAGGACTAGTAAGTAGCAGAGCCAGGGCTGAACCCAGGCAGCCTTGCTCTAACCACTAAGCTATTTCTAAACACTTTAAAAAAAATACTTGGCACGTAGTTAGCTCTCAGTAAATGCTAAACCAAACCCCTTACCATGGAGTAGATTCCGACTCATAGCAACCCTATAGGACACAGTAGAACTGCCCCATAGGATTTCCAAGGAGCATCTGGTGGATTCAAACTGCCACCTTTTGGTTAGCAGCAGTAGCTCTTAACCACTAGGCCACCAGGGTTTCCCAGTAAATGTTAGCTACTATTATTATCCCCATTTTGAGAAGGACAGAGGCACAGATAGTTTGCCCATAGTCCCCCAGCCAGTAGGTGGCAGCATTGGAATTCCATCTCAGGTCTGTAAAGGACTTGGAGTCCAGTGCTGTTTTCACTCCTCTGAGCTCTTAGAGTCACGCTGGTGGCTCAGTGGTTAAGCACGCTGGGCTGCTAACCCAAAGGTCGGCGGTTTGATCCCACCAGCCACTCGTGGGGGAAAGACGTGTCTCTCCGCTTCCATAAAGAGCCTTGGAAACCCTAAGGGGCAGTTCTGCTCTGTCCTAGACGGTCGCTATGAGTCAGAATGGACTGGATCGCAATGGATTTGGATTTCTTGTTGTTGTGGAGCTGTTACAAGTACAAGCATGCAACCCACGGCCTGCCGTTGGTCCTTAACACTTGTTTCCAGAGGCGGAATCTGTTAACTCTTCCAGCCTCTCTCCCACCTCCTCGGCCTCCACACCCTGCAGCCACAACTCAGAGGAATCAGCTGAGCAATGGCCTGAGATCAGTGGAAGGTGATCCCCTTCTCTTCCTGCAGTTTCACGCTGAGCCTGAGGGACAAGTCAGGTCACATTCCTGTGACGCTCCGGGCTTCCTTCACAGACCGGACTCTGGCCTGGATCTACCCCTGGAGACGCAAGAAGCTGATCTTGGCCCCCTTCCTCTTTTATCCCCAGCGATTCTTTGAGGCAAGTCAGAGCAAGGGCAGTTTCCTCCCTCTGGGATGGAGTCCTGGACTCCATTCCCATAATCGTCCGGGAGATTGCCGAGGCGCCTCCTGGGCGGGGTGGGCAGAGCAGAAGTAATGGTACCCAGGAGCTGGAACCCGCAGGGCCAGAGAGAACTTCCGGGTCAACCCTTCACACTGATGCCATGGATCCCACGCCCATAAACTCAGATTTAAATTAATCTGAGTGGGCCCAGGCATCAGTGTTATTAAAAAGTTCCCCTGATGATTCCAATGTGCAGCCACAACTGGGAATCACTCTTTTAGGAAAGCAACTCCTATCACAGGTATTGAAACAGGCTCAGGGCTGGGAAGATGATAGAAGAAGGTCATAGTGGCCTGGTGACATGCTGAAACTTTAGTCCTGGGTCCATTCTTTGTGTTCTCTAGTGGGAGGAGGGTCTCTGACAGGCAAGGAAGGGTTCTGATTAGAAGCCTAAGCTTGTTCCCACCTCCTTTCCTAGGTGCTGCTCCTGTGCCACAAGGGAGGGCTGAAGCTGGCACTCAATGGGCAGGGACTGGGAGCCACCAGCCTGGATCAGCAGGCCCTGGAGCGGCTGCGGGAGCTTCGGATCAGTGGCAGTATTAAGCTTTACTGCGTCCACTACTGAGAAGGACTTGAAGGGGACCCTGGCCAGAGAAGAGGGCCAGCCTATGCCAGGGCCCCACAGGGTGGCCCCACTCTCCCCTCCTCATTGAACTGTCCACCTGTCACCATATCAAGCCTGATTCATTTCTGCGGCCCCCAGTTTGAGTCTACAGGGGCTTTGGGCCCCACCTCAGAGGGAAGGCACAAGAGCATGAAGTCCCTTTCATGCTCTGCACCTCCCTTCACCCTTAACCTGGAATTTATCACCATCTTCCTTCAGAGCCTAGACAGAGGCTCAATGAGGCAATTTTTGTAGCCTAACAAGGACATTCAAAATACAATAACTTAAAGAATTTCAAAGTTTATTTCATTCTCATCTAGCAGTTCTGGGGAGAATAGTCAAAGTCAGTGGGTCTGCTCTGCTCCCCATGGACATTCAGCTCTGTCCTAGTCATCATCCTACCACTCTCAGGGCATCATCATTGTCTGTGTGGTTGAAGCTTGGATGCCACCATATGTAGATTTCAGCCACTGAGAAGGTGGATGGAGCATGTAGACAAGGCCCACCTGATTTCATAAGCCCCAGGCATGGAATTGGCACACACTATTCACACTCACATTTTATTGGCCATACTGTCTGCAAAGAAAGCTGGGAAATGTTCTCCAGCAGCATATTTACTATGAAAGAAAGAGACCGTGGATTTTGGCAGATAATTGTAGACTCTGCAAAAGTAGATGCTATTAATATCCTCATTTTATAAAAGAGGAAACTGAGTGTTATAGATTGAATTGTGTCCCCCCAAAATATGTGTCAACTTGGCTAAGCCATGATTCACAGTATTGTGTGGTTGTCCATCATTTTGTGATGTGATGTGATTATCCTATGTGTTGGAAATCCTAACCTCTACGATGCTAATGAGACAGGATTAGAGGCCGTTATATTAATGAGGCAGGACTCAGTCTACAGACTAGGTTTTATCTTGAGTCAATATCTTTTGAGATATAAAAGAGAGAAACAAGCAGAGAGGAGAGGGGATTTACTACCACCAAGCAAGAAGAGCTGGGAGTGGCGCACATCCTTTGGACCTGGGGTCCCTTGCTGAGAAGCTCCTAGACCAGGGAAAGGTTGATGACAATGACCTTCCCCTAGAGCTGACAGAGAGGGAAAGCCTTCCCCTGGAGCTGGCGCACTGAATTCGGACTTCTAGCCTCCTAAACTGTGGGAGAATAAATTTCTGTTTGTTCAATCCATCCCCTTGTGGTATTTCTGTTACAGCAGCACTAGATAACTAAGACACTGAGGCACAGAAAGGATAAGTAATTTGCAGAGATCACGTAGCTAGTAAGTGGTGGTACTAGAATTGGAGCCCAGGGATTCTGTCTACAGGCAGCGACTCTTCACTATTATACTATAGTGCATACATACACACTAGAATTTGCAGATTAAGGTGGGCATGGGAGTTTGAGGCTTGGGAGACAAAAAGGAAAATTGCAAATTTAGAAAAAGCATGGACAGAGAAAAAGGGAAAATACCGCTAAAGCAAGCAGAAAGGTTAAATAAGACAGAAAGAGTAAAGCCAAATATTTCAGCTATCCCAGTATATGACACTGAGTGTTGTTTTGCTAAGAAACAATATCCATCTATATGCTGTTTTCAAGAAGCACTCCTAAAGGAAGGTGAAAAAGGAGGGTTGTTTTCTTCAGGCACTTACCCGTTTTGTAGTGGTATATTTATTTGTTTGTTCACATGTTTATTATCTTTCTCCCTCACTAAATGGCTTACTCCACCAAGGCAGGAACTATATAGGACTGTTTTGCTCACCCCAGTACTTAGTGCATTACTTCAAAGATACTAGGAATTCAATATATAATAGTTAACCATTATATTGCATCTCTTATGTCCCACATACTGTTCAAAGCACTTATCACATATTTCATGAAATATTCACTAGAACCCTATGAGGAAAATGCTTTTATTACCTCCCTTTGCAGATGAGAAACCAAAGCGCAGAGATTTAATGAGTAATTAAAATCTATTGGTAAAAGTTTATTAGGAAAACATAACCCAAAGAAAACAGGGTGGCAATATTAATACCAGATGAAGCATGAGTCAAAACCAAAAGCATTAAATGGAACAAGGAGGGCAGCTTTATAATCACAGAAGGTATGTCTACATAGAAGCATACAAGTCATAAACCTCTCTGCACTCTATAACAGAGAAGTGAAATGAAGCAAAACATCCCTGGAAATATAAGGGGAACTCGATGAAACCATAATCATCGCAAAACACTCTATCAGTTAGCACAGGATAGATTCGGCTGCAGTAACATCTCAAATATCAGTGACTTAAAACAGCAAAAGTTTATCTGTAATGCATACTGTGTATCCGCCACAGGCTGACTGGGGTTCTGCCCTGCATCATCATGGTCCTACTCCAGGACACGGGCTAACAAAGTAGCCACAGCCTGGTACACTGCCGGCCACTGTGGCAGAGGGAAAAGAGAATGAAGTGTGCACAGGCTCGTAAACTGTCTGCCCCAAAGTGACACAAACCACAACTGCTCCCGTTTTATTGGTCAAAGCATGTCATGTGGCCACACCTTGGAAGTACACTGTTATAATGGTCCCTGATGGAAGAAGAACCAAACGTTTGTAACAGCCTTAAACTAAAACCCAATTCTGACTCATGACGAACATGTGTGTCATGGAGTAGACCCTGCTGCTCCATAGGATTTTCTTGGCTGTAATCTTGATGGAAGCAATTCACGAGGCCTTTCATCTCCAGAGCCACTGGGTGGGTTTGAACCACCAATCTTTAGTTTAGCAACTGATTACAAACTGTTTGTGCCACGCAGTGACCTTGTAACAACCCTACAGGTTCTTTAATACCCTATTCTCAGTATTTGGCAGATTAAGTAAATCAAGAAAAAAGGAAGGCTGTAGAGGATTTGAATTATATAATCAAATAGCTGAAATTAATAGGTATTTTTGGAACTTTGTACCCCACAGGCAGAGAATAGCATTTTTCCTTCATGTCTATTACCCAAATCAATCCTGTATCTATCACAAAGAAAAATCTTAGCAAATTCACCCAAGTAGAGATTCTATAGCAAATATGCCGTTATTGTCATCTAATAAAACAAGAAATCAATGACAAGGTAATTTAAAAGCGACCAGCTGGAAACTAAGGCACTGTCTGCTAGATAAGATCTAGGTCATAGAGGAGATCACAATTTGGTGGGTGAATCAAGGTCTTGCATATCCCAAGATCAAAGCAAATGGAGGGATGAAGGTAGCTCAGCCTTGTCTCATCCAGCTGTGCCAAGAGCAAAGCTGGTGATTATTTGTTATTCCTCCCCACATCTTTGCTATAGGTTTAAAGTAAATCCTAAAAATCCTGTGGGTTGACTCACACTTCCTCATTCTCCTTCAACATTATCTTGACTGATCTTGGCCCTTTATTCTTCCACAAGAAATTTTAGGATAAGCTTGTCAATTTTTACAAATACATCTTTTAGGATTTTTATTAGAATTCAATCAAATATATAGATTATTGTGGGGGGGGTTGCATCTTACATCCCTCTTCCCATCCATAAACATAGTATATCAATTTATTTTGGTCATCCTTTATGTCCTTCAGTAAGGTTTTCTCTTTTTTGTTGAACAGGGCCTTGCACATTTTTTTTTTTTATTTTATCGTGTTTTTTAGGTGAAAGTTTATGGTGCAAATTAGTTTTTCATTCAAAAATTTTATACACAAATTGTTTTGTGACATGAGTTGCCATCCCCAAAATGGGTTGACCATTTCCCCCTTTCCCTTCCCTCCCTGGATTCTCAGTGTCAATTCATCCAGTTTTACTGTCCCTTCCTGCCTTTTTTGCTTTGGAGCAGGTGTTGCCCATTTGGTCTCATATATTTGATTGAACTGAGAAACACATTCCTCATGTGTTATTGTTTTTTTATAGGCCTGTCTAATCTTTGGCTGAAAGGTGGACTTCGGGAATGGCTTCAGTTCTGAGTTAGCAGGGTATCTGGGGGCCAAGTATTGGGGATTCCTTCAGTCGCCGTCTGTCTTAGTTATCTAGTGCTGCTAAAACAGAAATACCACAACTGGACGGCTTTAACAAACAGAAATATATTCTCTCACAGACTGAGAGGCTAGAAGTCCAAATTAAGGGCACCAGCTCCCAGGGAATGCTTTCTGTCTGTGTCGGTTCCAGAGGAAGGTCTTTGTCATCAACCTTCCCCTGGTCTAGGAGCTTCTCAGCACAGGGACCCTGGGTCCAAAGGATGCCCTCCAGTCCCAGCACTCCTTTCTTGGTGGCATGAGTCCCTATTTTTCCGCTCCCTTCTCTCTCTTTTTATCTCTTGTAAGATAAAAGGTGATGCAGGCTACACCCCAGGGAAACTCCCCTTACATCAGATCAGGGTTGTGACCTGAGTAAGGGTGTTGCATCCTACCCTAATCCTCTTTTACATAACCTAATGTTGCCTCATTAGCCACAGGCAGAGATAAGGATTTACAACACATAGAAAAATTACATCAGATCACAAAATGGAGGACAACCACACAATACTGGGAATCATGGCCTAGCCAAGCTGGCACATATTTTGGGGGGACAAAATTCAATCAGTAACACCATCAAACAAGTATGTCTGGTCTTTTTTTTGTGTGTGTGAATTTGAATTTTGTTCTACATTTTTCTCCCACTCTGCCCAGGACCCTCTTTTGTGATCTCTATTAGAGTGATCAGTGGTGGTAGCCAGGCACCATCTAGTTCTTCTGGGCTCTGGCTGGTGGAGACTGTGGTTCATGTGGTCCATTTGTCCTTTTGTCTCATATTTTCCTTGTGTCTCTGGTATTCTTCATTCTCCTTTACTTCAAACATGATGGAATCAATTGATGTATCTTAGATGGCCACTCGAAAGCTTTTAGGACCCCAGACACTACTCACCAAAGTAGGATTAGAACATTTTCTTTATGAACTATGTTACGTCAATTGACCTAGACGTCTCCTGAGTCCATTGTCCCCAGCCCTCAGCCCCAGTAACTCAGTCCCTCAAGATGTTTGGATGTGTTTGGACCAAAAAGAATTGGTCGATGTTCAACCATTTCAAGAGGTAGCATATAATCAGGAACTGATGGTGCTGAAGGAAGAAGTCAAAGCTGCACTGAAGGCATTGGTGAAAAACAAGCCTCAGGAATTGATGGAATACCAACTGAGATGTTTCAACAAACAGATGCAGTGCTGAAAGTGTCCACTTGTTTATGCCAAGAAATTTGGAAGACAGCTACCTAGCCAACTGACTGGAAGAAATCCATATTTATGCCTATTCCCAAGAAAGGTGATCCAACCGAATGCAGAAATTATCATTAATTTCACACACAAGTAAAATTTTGCTTAAGATCATTCAAAAGTGGCTGCAGCAGTAGATCAACAAGGAACTGCCAGAAATTCAGGCCGGATTCAGAAGCGGATGTGGAACCAGGGATATCACTGTTGATGTCAGATGGATCCTGGCTGAAAGCAGAGAATACCAGAAAGATGTTTACCTGTGTTTTA